TTTCTTTCTTTCTTTCTTTCTTTCTTTCTTTCTTTCTTTCTTGCTTTTTTCTCTCTCTCTCTCTCTCTTTCTTTCTTTCTTTCTTTCTTTCTTTCTTTCTTTCTTTTTTTTGTCTTTCTTTATTTCTTTCTTTCTTTGTTTCTGTGTTTCCGTGTTTCTTTGTTTCTTTGTTTCTTTGTTTCTTTTTTCCTCTTGTTTTTTCTCTTTCTCCCTTTGTTTTTTCTTAAACTCGTTCTTTTTCTCTCTTTTTCGTTCTCTCTCTCTCTCTCTCTCTCGGTCTATCTCCAGCCCACGAAAGTGTACGAAGCAACAAGAGCACGAGTTGTTGAAGGTCCACCTACTGTCCGCAGAGGGTTCAACTTTTGATGCGGCGCAAGCTGAAAAACGTGGAAAGTCAAAAGAACGTGAGTTGTTTGAAGTCGGCCCCCGAAAGTCCGAAGAGGATTGCGCGAGCGAAGTGCAAATCGAAAACAAACAAACATGAAAGCCGACCCCAAAGTCCGAAGAGGGATCACTTTTTGAAGCTTGCGAAACAGTTCCAAACCAGGTCCGAGACCGCTGTGAGCCCGCGTCCGTACAGACGTTGCGAACGAGGCATTCTGCGCACATGCGGAAGAGCCGACCTCACAAACGCGGCGGCCTGCGTCTATCGCGTGTTCGTGGTTTGTTGTACCCTTTTTTATGCTCAGATCGTGCACAGGAGGAAGTGCTGCCCATTCGGAAGAGGAAGAACAGCAAGTTGAAGACTGTATGAGATATACCAGGAGAAATCTTCAAGCGAAAGGGCGCTGGACATTGAGCTTGGACAAGTTAGCGCGTTGTTTTAGAAACCGTTCACCCCCCAGGGTATGTATGGTATATGCCCACCCCCTACTTTGAAAGTATCAGTCGTTACTTACCGCACAAGTGAAAAGGTGGGCGCTGTGGGGGTGGGGGGGGGGGGCGAATTTTTTGGATATACATTTATAATTTTGTGTATATAGAGAATATAGAGAGAGAGAGAAAGCTAACCTCAATGAGTTCCAGTACTACGGAAGTTCCTTCGAAAATTAATTTGATGAAACAGATTCTGCGCGCAATATGTTTGATGTGCACCAGAGTGGAGCCAAGATGCAACTGAACATCAAACCACAAAAGGAGGTCAAGTCCCAAAAGGAGGTTCTCATTTTTCTTTACAAATTTGCTTCTGGGGTTGATGTCAACGTTGGTATTTGGAGCGTAGGCAATCAGAAGTTCTATAAGGAATGTTTCTTGCCAAGATTGACGCCGGTGGCCTGGATCCTGGGCCAAAACCAGACCCAGATTCAAGTCAGGGGGGCTGGTCCACTTGACCAGAGTGTGTCCACTTGGTATGTTCCACGATGTTCCATCCGGCTTTGGCTTTGCCAGGGCCCGGACCGCGGAGAGGCGGCCGGGGGTTCCTTGTGGTGCGTCACCAGCCCTCGCCAGGCGGATCAACTAGATCAACGTCGCCGCGGGCCTACAGCTCGCACACACCTTGTTTGACAAGGAAGGATGCTGTTGGGGGCCCTGTGTGGGCAGCACATGTTGATTTGTTGATTAGGGTTCCCAAAAGCCGAATAGTATGTTTGTCAAGCTCCGAACACCTGCGTCCTGCCGGTGACCGGCTCCCTAGAGTGCGGTTGGACCCTGTCCGCTGGAGTTCACAGGCAACGGTTCCAATCTAAGCAAACTGGCAAGTCATGGACTCCCCAGATGTGATGGGACTGTGATATTAAGAAAGTGATGGACTCTCTTTGAAGTAGGGCCACCTGCTCAACACGGGGTCGATCTGGTTCCCATCCACAGTGCGTCGGACCGTTTGGAGGCCTGGACTGGCTGCAGGGCAAGGAGCGGAAGGTGCTCTACAAGGCGGAGACCGTCCAGGAGGTCCACAACAAAAAGGCGCGCGAAAAGGGGCGGCGATCTTCGTTGGGGGGCGTGTCCTGGCCACCCCAAAAGCGACTCCGAAAGGAGAGGGATTGGAATCCCTGTGGCGAGGTTGATGACGATTTTTTACCAGAGGGGCTTGTGACCACAGATGGTCTGGGAGTTGACATGGTGTTTGTTGCTAATCCTCCAGTTAGGCGCCAGTCAGTTTCTCAGTTAAAACCTCCGAAGGCCCCACCCCGGACGCTCAAGGTGTGTGGGAGCCGCTGGGAAATGGAGGGGCTCGCCCCCCAAAGTATGGTGTTTGCTTGGTTCCTTGAGAGCTGCCTAATGGTAACCCCCAATATGGATCAAGTCGGTTGGCACAGGTGTTCGCTGTAGTGCTTCGCCTGGCCACTGGTCGGACGCAGCAAGTCCCCGTTTGGAGGATGAACGGCAAATCAAGAATTGACCAACCATTTCAGCGAGCACCCTGTCACCAAAGACACAGCCCAAATCGAATCAAGTGATCGTTTTGGCTTCATGGCATCCCAAAAGCTCGGCCTTTGTATGCCGGTGTTCAGAAAAATATCCGGACGCGCACAGAAAAGGGGCGATCATGCTTCAACTCCTACTCCCAGCATATTATCATAGAACCCCGAAAGGGGTTCGCCCAAAAGGAGTTTCTTCTACAAACGACGGCTTTTTAAGTTCTGAAGTTGCAAGACAGTAGGTTATTTCTGTTATTTCATTTGTCTTGTTTCTGTTGAATGTCCTCCTCCTCCTACTCATTATCAGCAGCATTGTCACAGCATTAGCAGCATTGTCATCATCATATATTCTCAACTAGGTCTCCCAGTAGTGCCCGTTCTCACCCTTTTTGGGTTGGGAGGGTTCCCCTATTACAATAGACTACCGAAAAATGTTCTAACCTCTCTACTGGAGGACCTAGTTAAACCCTTGGTTCCATTATCCAGGCTTCCATTGTGGGCCTTTTGGGTACCCATGTTGGACCCACGCCCATACGCCTTTCGCGGGGTCTCCCGCAACCGCTTGGAGGCCCTGGGCCCCGCGGGGCTGTGGCTGAGCCGCGGGGAGGCGCGAGCTCGCGGCTTTCAGCGTCGGAGCGGGCCGAGGGGTTCCATCCGAACGGGGTACGCGAGCTTGCGGTTGGCGAGCGGTTGGAGGAAGGCCGGGAGGCAAAGGAGGCCCCCAAGTTGCTGTTTTTGAGTCTTCTTTTTTTCAGGACGTGCAGAGTTGGAAATTCAGATTTGAAGTTAGGATCGATCTGGCTAGTGGTTGTATATCCCATTTGGGGTGGAAACCATCTTGGAACAGAGGAATCTGTTCGCAAACTGCCAAGGGAGTTGACCTCACGTCAGGCACTTCCGAACATTGAACGGCACACTTCCCAAGTGAGGGCAAGTTGACCTCGTGTCAAGAAACTTGCCCTCCAAGTGCCAAGGGGTGGGGGGCAGGGCAAGTTGGTCTTGCATCAATGGACGGAATGCCACACCTCGAACCTTCCATCGGATGGATAGACCTGGTGAACCTCGACCCTGTCCCTAGAAAATCATAAGCAAGCAACTTCCCGGGACCTCTTGCGCCGTGTTTGAACATGTTGAGCCGTTTCCAAAGCCGCAGCGCCCGCCCCGCCAGCGGAATCAGCGGCATCAGCAAAGCAACAGCAACAAGAAGAAGAAGAAGAAGAGAAGAAGAAGACAGACAACAACAATTATCCTACACAAACAGATGATGATGATGATGATGATGATGATGATCATGATGATGATGATGATGATGATGATGATGATGATGATGATGATGATGATGATGATGATGATGATGATGATGATGATGATGATGATGATGATGCTGAGGATGACTACGATGACGCCGATGACGAAGAAGACAACGATGATGACGATGACGACGATGACAATGACGACGACGACGACGACGACGACGACGACGATGATGATGATGATGATGATGATGATGATTATAATTATGATGATGATCTTGGCAGCAGTTTGGACGGGTCTCACTTGAGGGATATCTTCCATGTGGTCCTTGTTGTTGAACCCTCCTGTTGGTTGGCTTCAAGGAGCCTACAAGGATCCCAACCATTAGGGTTCCCTTATTGAGACAAACCCACACGTGCCTTGGGAAATCTTCCACGCGGGAGTTCAAGCCTCAACTTTATTTGTATGCAGGCCGTGGAGGTCCTGGAGGAGAGCATTGCGTCGGGGTGGGTGGAGTACAGTTCCAAAGAACTGATATGGAAGCTTAAGCACCGAAACACTGCTCCAGTTCCAGAAAAAGGGGCTCCACAAGCTAGAGTGCCAAGAATAGGTCTGAAGTGTTGGATGAGTTTAGGGCCAATTGGCATTTGTGTGGGTTTGCGGGGGCACAGAATTACCTCAACGGGTCGGCAGGCGGCTTGATGTTCTGGCATGAGCCAAGCTGAATGTCTAGAACGGAAGAAGGCCAAACTCATGTCGAGGCCAGCGTGTCCTCCATGACAGCTTATCAGAATAGCCAGTGGATGACCAATTTCATGAATATGAGGCCAAATAATTGCTAGCATGGTGCTCCGGTGATCACAACACGACTGCAGTTGGTTTTGAAAGTACCCCCTCCCCCACACAACCCCCATTCCAGTTTATTTGAGAAATAGGCTCTTGCAGTAGGCCGAAGTCGGATGGTTTTTTTGCAGCTGCGTGCGACTGGTCATGTTAGCCCTTTCGATTCCTTCGTCTCTTTCAGAACATCCCAACCTCCCCTCCCCTATCCTTGCTATCAAATGAGACCCGACACAGCCGTACTGGTTTATTTGGGCAACACAAGGGGTCTCAGACTGGAGTTGCGTGCGGGGGATTTGCTATGTGCCGACGGCTCAAAAGGGAGGGCAGGGAGTTTCCTGTGGCCAGATCCGGAGGCAACATGTGGAACCCGTCCCAGTAATTTGTTTTCCAGTAAATACACTGGGCAATATGTCTAACTTGAGAAGATTCACCCCCCAAGGACGCCATGCAGTATAAATCAAACCAACACGTGAAACAACGTCAGGTTATTTTCAGTGCAGCATGTGTTTTGGTTGCTCAGTAGTTCGACAGGCTCTTTCGGCACTTAGCCGAACGCGGTCCTTCCTTTCTGAGCCTTTGATCCAGCTCCGCCATGCTCCCCATGGAGCGGTCAAACTGAGCCCAGTACGCGACCCGGCCGAGCAGTCAGGATGATATGGGTACGGGTCAAAATCAAACCACGAGGGACCGCTGGTTTTTTGGTTCCATTTACCAGGGTTCCATTTTGTGTACCTATTTTTGACCCACACCCATATGAAGCGCGGTCAGAATTTACGAAGAAGGAAAGTCTACACTTGGACATCCATATAGCCCAAGGTGCTTGAAACCATGGAAAACGATGGGGGACTCTCAAAAAATCGATACCTTTGTGTTACAGACCAAACGCTGGAAAACGATAGGGGACTCTCTAAATTCGAGCGTACTTACTGTGAACAACACGGAACTTCATATGATAACTTTCCGTTGAGCAACGGTCGATATTCACCGGCATCTGCTGTAGTCAAGGGAATGATCTTGGGTACAGTCACAAAATTGCCGTAAGTACATGTAGGATGTTCATTGGCGTTTGGGGCACACAATGCATATCGACGGCTGCATGTTTGGTAGTCTCCCAATCAAAGCGGATTTGGTTCGGGCACCTAGGGGCACATAGTCATATTGGGTGTGGCTCAAAATTAAAAAGGAGAGGTTACGCAGGTTTTGGTCCATATTTCCGTTGACTCCACTTCCCGCCTTGGGCAGAAAAACACCTTGCCAACTTGCGAGCGGAATGGTTCAGACCATCTGTTTGGAAGGGCAAAGGCTCGGTACTTGGTAGAATGCATCTGTGGTTTCCTTTGAGGTTAGACTATTGGGAAGGTCTCACTTCAAACAGAGATCTTCAAAGCCGCAGGATTCTTGTGAACAGTTCGCTTCCGGCGCATGGTTGTGGAACACTGTTTTCGGCAAGGCCACTTGTGAGTGACCCGTGCGGATGTGTTGTTTTTCTAAAGGGACACTCTACGGGATGCACCAGAGATCCATGGCTAGAAGCTTCGCCTCGGTTCCTTTGGGATGGGTTTGCCGTGCGGTCGGCTGAGGACGTGTTCTGTCCAATGTTTACCCTGCTGCGGCTTGGCTGCGAAGTGATCTCCCGGGCTTCACTGCGAATCCCCTGATGGAGCTAAGCATCACCAGTTGGGCCGGTTGAAAGTGAACTGCTTTTCGTGGGAGGTTCTCTCTGGTCAAATCACCTTTTTACGTGGTTGGTAGGGATAGTCATGGCCGCGTTGCTAGCGAAGGAATTATCCAACCACTACTAATCAAGGGAGCCGTGACATCTCGGAGTTTTGACCATGGCACATATTGCTCATACGTTGCTTGATTGCGAGGAACGAGAGTCTCTTCTTCCCGGCCCTCGGAGAGAATTGCCTCCTGCGCAAGCCCCGCCAGGTGGAAAGACCGTGGGGTTCAGTCAAGACATCCTCCGAGCTCGCTGACAAAATCGCAGATTGTGGAGCCCGTCGAAAAAAGCCGTGACGTTGTACTTCAAACAGGTAGTTTCCGCTGGGCTTCCCTCACCAACGTCCCAAAGAGTTTTTCCTTTCTCAAGGGCCGTTCTCCTTGGACCAAGGAAGCCTGTCGATTGCCATGGCGGATGGGACATAGCACATACGGTGTTGTGGTGAACGTTTTCCGAGCCGCAATAAAGTTTGCCCTGGTAGCACTTTCAAACAAGCCTGGGAGCCACCCCTTGTGGGTCTCACAAGCGAAAACTCATTGGCTAAGAGAAGCTGCGGAGTTCAAGAGAGCCAACTTGATCCAACTTGCCGGTTCTTGCGGTGTACAAGGAGGTGGTTGGAGTCACTCAAGCCATTCGATCCATGGTTAAAACACCCTGTTACTCGGGCTCAGCCTTTTGCTCTTCCTACTGCCCTTGGATTTCAACCATCAAAGCACTGGCTGATATAACCATTGTTTACCCAAGTGTCGTCCTTTGTTGGGCCAACCATCATGTTTTGGGTCTCAATTATTTTCTTGAGTGCTATTGGGTTGGATCTTTTGGACTTCAACTTTTTGGGAAATCAAATGTTTTTTGTTTTTTTTTTTTTTCCGTTAAACCCGCCAAAAGTCAAACTTGTTGCAGAGGGGTCCACAGCAACCAAGTTGTCGGTGCCCCTTTTTGGATGGCTTGAAACCCAAGGGAAAGCCACCTGCCGGAGTTGGTCCCATGGCAGGTGCCGAACTCCGACGAGAGCGCGGGCTCCGCGAGCTTCCAGCGGTGCGCGGAGTTCCTGGGGTGCAAGCAGGCGGTCCGAAGTCGATGGAGACTTCCCTTCCCCAAGCTAGCTGCCAACTGTCTCACCCAACTTTTGTGGTTGGGAGGGTTCCCCTATAGTCTGAGGCTTCCCCTGCGATTTTGGGGGACCCTTTTTTTGGTTGGGAGGTTCTACTATTGACTGTCAATAGACAGAGAAAATCAGCGGGTCGCGTGGAGATGAAGCTCAGGTCGCGTGGAGATCGCCAGTTGCGGTTTTCGCTTTTGCTTTTCTTTCCATCCACTTGTACCCCAAAAAACAGCAGTGACACAGAAAAAAACAGCCACTTGGCTATCCAGGTTGGACCCATTTGGTAGACATTGATAAGGGGATTTATGTCACAACAATTTTGACACCCATTTTTGAGGGTGTTTCCTGTCGAAAGAAAACTGCCAAGTCGAAGACGTATGGATAATCGGAGCTGAAAGACCGGTTGTTTTGCGTGGGAGGTGTGCGATTCGACAAGTTGTAATTGGATTGCTTTGACAACTGCAGAACATCTAGCAAGCTCAAGGAGTGTGCCCCACTCCAACAAAGGGGCCCTTAGGGGATCCCAGTTTTACTTTGCTTGCATGATGGACAAGCGAACCGAAGGACTTTTTGGACTGCTGGTTCCCCGAAAATTCGCCAGGGACTTTTGTCAATCTTGCGCGTGAATGACCCGGGTTTACCTACACCTGGAAAAAAAGCGATGTGCAGATTTTGGAAAGGATCCAACAAACCAGGGCAGGCGAACATCGCCAGGGTTTGCTCGTGATGTCGTCGGCATCCACCTGTGAAATGGCATGTGACATCGCAGCAAATCGACCTCGGGTCAGCGAGCGGAAGCTGATATGGAACCAAGCAGAGGGGAATCTGATCGGACATGGATTGGTATGTCAACAGAGAACGGGTATGAAAGGCATGGGAGCTGAGTGTTGGGGCGGGGGGGGTGACGGAGGTGGTGCTGGTGTTTCTGTTCATGTTTGCCTGTATGCTAGCCAGCAGTAAGTCGGACGACAGCGGCGGAACGTGATTGCGTAATTACACAAATGAGATATGCATTGTGCTGGGTAATGCTAGTATGCGTCAAAGCTCGTTGCTTTCCGGGGATGTGAATTAAAGCAGTTATGCATAGTTATGCTGTACCACTCCAAATTCTTGTCAAAAATGCTACTTGCTGGTTCGCGTCCCCAAGGGGTGTGGGGTCTTTCCAGCAACACTTCTTGCGAAGCTGCCAGGATGCCACCATGATTCAGCTGCTCGGCAAGAAAAAAAAAGCGGGGCGGAGACACGCGGGAAAAAAAAGTTGGAGGGCTTTGAAAGAAATATTTGCACCTCGCAGCACAAGAGTTTGACGACACTTGGAAAGCCAACTTCCTCTTACAGTGACAACTCCCGTCAGGTTTCTTTTGAAAGTGGGAGGGTAAAGCACGCTCCTGTGATCCAGGTGGGAGACCAAACAGTCCCACCAAGAAGCTCTGGGCACATCACTTTCCTCAGGGACCAATGCCTGTCAGGCTCCATGGTGGCGCATCCTGACGCACGGGATTTCTTTCGCAACTAGATGGCGTCTTCGGCCGGAAATACCGCATTTCCCCGGGCGGCAGCTCGTGAAATCTTCGCAAGGCATTCCAAGCATGTTTGCTTGCTTGCTTGCTTGCTTGTTTGTTTGTTTGTTTGTGAAGGGAAGTGGTCATGACTGGGAAGTTTGCAGCTTCCGGCAAAAATGTCTTCGGATGCTGTTTCACCGCCGAAGTTTGCTCATGGAACACCTCTAGCCCGAGTGACTACATAACCACGGTGAGTTGGAGTCACCTCCTCCAAAATGTGCTTATATTGCCACTTGTTTTTTGCCTGTTGGTGTTTGAGGGAAATAGTCATGACAGGTAAATGTGGTTTACACAACAGCTCAGAGAGGCACCCAGATCGCACATGCCCTGCGCTTGAGGCTCGGATATGGGCGAGTCCTCATGCGATTTCTTTATGGAGTTGACACGGTTTAGGCCTGTGGTTCAGCACAAATTGCCGAGACTTGGAACAGACACCCAGGACTCCAAGGACGGACATTTTTGTAGCCCCAGGTGGCATTCATTTCTGTAGATTTATTGCTGTAGCCCCAGGTGATCCCAGGTGGCATGTACTTTTGTGGAACCCCAGGTCTTATGTCGGCCAAAGCCAAACTCCCAGGTTGCCCAGGGGCCTGTGTTGCTTTTGCTTTCGGAAGCTTTCGGTTCCCTGAAACACTAGAAAGATGAAGCCGGGCCGTGCATTGAACATCAACCACCCTTTAGATCCACCACCATGATTTCATGCCTTTTCCCCCCCAAGAAAAAAAAGGGAAACAAAAAGTGTCCTGGTGGCTTTGTAGTGGATGCACATGTCTTGTGTTTTAAAGGGAAGCCGCCCAGGCGCATGGCTGTGGCGCACTGCACGCAGGTGCCCTATGCCATGGCCTCGGAGGCGTCGGCCTATGCGCTTGGCATATCTTCGCATTTCCTGCCGGGGTGAGTTTCGTCTCACGCCCTGTGTCTCTCGCATGTGAAGTGATTTGGGGCCCGGCTTGACTGGGAACAGGTTGTTTTCTTTGGATCCTCAAGCGAAGCCCGACCAGCCAACCCGAACCCAGGACGGATCCTCACCAAGGCCCTAAGGCAGCCCCAAAGCATGCCCCACACAACTCCCGAGCACTCAGCCAGCCTCCAAAGTGCACTCAAACCAAGATTTCAGCTCGGGCCTTTCCGGGTGAGGCAGAGCAAAAGTCGAGCGTTGGGCATACCTTCCCATTTGGTTTGACGAGCAGCAGGAGGCGTCCTATCTTCAAACCACCATTCCAAGCCACCGATAGGGTTCTTTTAGTGTCTTTTTGTTGGAACCAAAGCCGGACCCGATGGGCTTGTTTCTTTTAGGAGAATCGATGTTGAGTCCACCCCAATTCAGACTGCCAGATTTCATGGAGAACCCAGCCCCAAGGTGCCAAGGTGTCTTGAAAACCCTAGACCTCGAGGTTTTCTTTCAGACACAACTATCCCACAAGGGTGCCCTGTCGTTCCCATGGAACTCCCCATATCGGACTTCCCTTCTGAGCTCGAACACCAAAACGAGAGGTTCTGAAGCTAAGCACCGGCAGGCGTCGAGTGTGGTTTTGCCCTACATCAACAGCGCCGTGGGTGCCCTCGGCGTGCATCAGGTGATTCACATGTTGTTCGAACCGAAGAACCGTGGGCTGCTGGAGTGGATAGTATAAAGCGTGTGTTTTAGTGCGTTGTTCAATGACCAAACGACGAACACGGAAGAAAGTCACGTCGGATAGGATGTGCTATTCCTGCCAGGAAGGGTGTCCGCCAACAAGGCAGTCCGCCAAGCGGGCTTCAGTTTCCATGCCTGAGAAAGGGCACCTGCCTCAAACTGCAGTCAGCCTTGATGAGAAAGTTGCGAGGGAATCCGTTCGAGTCGGCTCCTCAAGTTTGGGCATAAAGTGGCGAGTGTTCTTTACTCAGTTGCAACCAAAGTCGACCTTGCCACCCTCTTGTTTTCCTGTGTTGATTCACGCCTAGTAACGAGAGGTTGGCTTTGGCAAGGCAGAGAAGGCCCCTGACTTGGAAGCCCTCCTGCAGGCGCTCAGGCGCACTGAAGGGAAGGTAATTACACCTTTTTCTCCCCTTGACTTGCCTGGCAAGACCCTGGATGGTGTGATCAGAGCAAAAGTCACACTTTGGCATTTGGAAGAGTGGAATTCACCATTCCGCCGGTGGCAATTGGCTTGCCACGGTTGCCATCCGGAGCGTGACCCTGCTTGCTGGCCATCATGTCAGCTTTGAGGAGGGCCAATGCAAATCTACAAGTTAAAGTGTGGCTTGGTGAACATAACGGCGGGAAGGGTGCAGTTCGAACTGGGCTAGGCCCTGCCCCATTTTCAAATCAAGTTGGGTTTGAGGAGACTGATCCTCAGGGTTAAACGGCGTTTGATTATGAGTGGAATCTTTTGAAGCTGAAGGCGCTGAAGGCATGACCTGGCCAAAGACGGGCACTTCAAGAGTTCCGGGGACTCTTCGCCTTTCCTCACACATCCCGGGGACCTCTCTTGGCCGATCCCTGGGACTCCGAGGCGGAAATGTGCAGACCTTTGCGCAGCCACTTGGATGCAATGCGGGCGGCCACGTGGTTTTCTGGTCAGGCAATCTGACTATAAGTCTCCTGGGATTTGAGTTTGCGTCAGATCCAGCTGCTCCATTTGGGAAAAAACATGGGGACTCACGGGGACGAGCCCTGATTTTCCCATCTCCTCTTGGGGAAACAACTGATTCTGACCGCTCCGAGAAGACGGCACTTGAACACCCCAAGAACAACACACACACACACACAAGGACCGGAAATAGAGAGGGCTCCCTGGATTGCCCATGCCCGTTGGATGACTTGGTTAATTTAGTCGAGCAAGTTTGTGCCCGTGGCATTGTGGATGCATCCTCCCGCTGAAGCCATAACGACACCTGTCTTGGGCGTCCGCTTCTCCCAGAGGGGACCTGCCCAACAGATTGGCAGGTTTCCTTTCGCTTGACTCTTTGAAGGGCAGACTAGGATATGCCCTGCCAGGGCCTTTTTTCCATTTTTCCGGAGGAGGTTTATTTTTTTTCCCTCCGGGACTTTCTAAATCAAGTCCCATTCAAAGAGCAAGATCCGCGGTTTGAGGATTTGAACCCCCAACTTTTCTAGGTAGATGGAGTAAGCCCCTACCTTCATTAATCCAAACTTCAAACCAAGTAGATACGTTTTTTAAATCTTTATATTTAAACTCATGGTTTTGTCCCCCCCCCTCCTTGGCTGAGGTACATGGAAAGCCAGAAATCTAACCTGGTGACCCCCCCCTCCCTTGGCTCGGGTTTTGGTTGGAAAGCCGGAAAAAAGCCACCGAACCTCACAGCACATCGCGGCTTCAAGTGGCTCCGGACATCCAACCTGGTTTCCCCCCCGCCTGGGGTCATTTGGCCCGGTTTTTGTTGGAAAACCACGGAAAACCGGCGAAGAAAAACACATCAAGAAAAAAAACACGAACCTCGCTTGGTTCCCCCCCCCTCCCTCCCTTCCCTTGGCTACGGTTTTTCTTGGAAAGCCGGGAAAAACAAAGAAAAGAGCCTCACGACCTCGCAGGATGCAGGCGGTGACCTCCATGGTGCAGTTCCTCGGCGGCCTCGTCTTCGGGCAGACCGCCGACAGCTTCGGCACCCGCTGGGCGCTGCTCACGGCCCACGGGGCAGCCATGGGCGCCCCAGCCCGGGAGAGTTGGCGGATGGGTCAAAGTCAGGGGTGTGGGATGACTCGGGGAATTCATCCCCCACTTCTGTGATACAAGCTCACTTCCTGAGTTCATGAACTTTAAACTTTTTGGGAAGACCATTTTAGTGGTAAATATAAAGTTTGGACTTTTTTTGGGCCATCCACTCGGCAAGTGAGCAAGGGAATCTCCCCCTTTCTTTTTGGGGGGTAGTCTTTGGGAAGCCCTGTTTGTTGTATCACAGAAGTGGACATTTCCCACAGCCCTGGTCAAAATTAAACCACCCGGAATCGGACTGCAGGTGTTAGTGTTTTAGTCCTTGGTTCCATTTACCAGGGCAACCCATTTTGGGTACCTATTTTTACTGCAGGTTTTAGTCCTTGGTTCCATTTACAAGGGCAAGCCATTTTGGGGTTACCCTATTTTTGACCCACAGCCATTTGAGGATCCTTTACGGCCATGACGACATCTGGTTGCAAAGCTTCCCAGACCAAAACATATTTTGAGTCATATAGGCCTCTGTATGCGTGTAATGTTGAAGCAGTATGCGAGGGAATGGTTTGTGTATTTTGGGGCGTCGGATCAGTTGTCCAACGCAGATGAAGTGGTTGAGCCTTTGCTCTGTTTTGTTGATCCATGTTGCATCCCAAGAGGCGAACCTGTTGTTTCTTGCTGCTTTGGGCAGGGGAGACAAAACATGCGGTGGCGAATCTCGATGGTCGTGCTGGTTTCCTATTCGTCCCAATTCGGGCTGTACGCTGCCATTGCACCATCAGGCCTCACATGCCGTCCACTTTCTCGGTGGGGTCTTTGTGAGAAGGCATTTGTTTCATCGGCGCATAGGCGGCAATGTTGGGCCCTGCTGCATCAGGGGTCAGCATTGTTCTACATGCGCAATATGTCAGGATTTGTTGTTGTTTGCATCCCTTTCCGACATTTTGCGCTGAAGGCCAATGAAATGTCACGTCCGGCTTCGAGAATGTTTCGACTGGTGGATGATGAGAGCCACCAATTGCAGCTCCGTTGCGCCACCTTTGGTTGTTTGAGGGGTTTGACCTCTGCAGTTATGGCGGAGTTGTGCCGCATTCTGGGTTCATTCCTTTGCCAACATCGCAGCACTTTGTGTGTGTGTGTGTGAGTGGGTCTCGCAAAACCGAGATGATATGAAACTCGAACGCTTCCAGAACTTGAAATGGAAACCAAGCCTACCCCGCAGAAAGCAGGATTCCAACAGCCCTTCCATCGATCTCGATGTTTTTCCCTTGGGGCTTTGAACAGCACCTTTCAACTTTGACTTCAATGTGATGTTTGAAGGGGACATATCGGCATAGCAACATAGGGAACTCCCGTTCCTTTTTTGATTTCCCTTTGCCAGTCTTGAAGAGGGTACTGGGCCTCCAAAAGCACATGCCGACACTTCAGGTGTATCCAAGCGATGCCAACATTCACACCAGTTTGGTCATATTTATGTTTGCATTTGGTGTGGCAGGTGCGGCACGGTGTTTAAACTTATGATGCTATAAAGGCTTGCAGGTGTGAAAGTTGACCGCTCCAGACGTGCGCTTTGACCTCCAGGTTCTAGGCGGGAAAGGGTGTAAACACTTGTTGTAGCGACCCAAGAGGGCGAACCTTCATCCAGGTGGTGTATGTGCGTGTGTGCGTGTGTTTCTTGGAGGGTATATTTGTTGGGTGGTTTACGGGAACCTCACAAGAGCAACTACCATTGGGGGTTCCCCTATTTTCTCACACACCGGTACGGCTCTGAATGTTGATACACCCTCCATAAAGGTTGACATACATCACCAAATTTGATGTCCACCCTTGGGGCTCCCCATTTTATATCACACCACGGCGTCCAACAAACACCAAAACCATATCTAGGTCCCCCATAAAAAAAGACTACAGAAAAAAAGGGTAGGCTTATTTTCTAACCTCTCTACTGGAGGACCTCGATATTTCGGGACCCTTCGCCTCGCCCAGGCAGCGCCTTCCTGGTCGCCACGGCCTACTCCCAGAAGGCACTTTTTCTGGCGCTGATGCCGCTGACCATGGCCCATGGCTTCCAGGCGCGAGCGAAACGAGAGCGCGAAACGGATCGTGTGATGCATGCCACACGCAGGTGGTTTAGTGTTCTTTGGATTTGGGTGGAAGGGAGGTGAAAGCCAAGATGGCTTTCACAAGTGGTTGTGGGCAGGCCCATTTTGAGAAAGCGGGCGACATGAAAGAACGTTGGGTGGTCCTTCTTCTTAAACAGGACTTGTTTGACTGGCAACATGGTTGGTCGCCCTAAAAGTGTTGGATTTGTTGGAGGTATGACAAGCTTGTCCAGAAAAGGTGTCAAACACAGCCTGAGGTAGTTTGTAAATAGGGTTTCGAAGCATTAGATAAACCTTCCGCAGACCAAGGACCTTTTGCGTGGGCCGCTACACTTGTGCAGACTGGAAGGAAGCTCCAGAATACCATGTCGTAAGGGGACGGGATCTGTCAGTAGCGGAATACGTTGGCAACTGGGGGGCATCAAGCCGGGGTCATGCCCTCTAAACGTACCACTTGGGCTTAATTTGGCAATCACGGAATGAATCATGATGAGGCTAGTCTCAGATGAAGCTCGTGTTTGTCTTCCTAAGGGAGCCGCAACCTGGTTCATGAAAGCTTTTTGGCAGCATACTGCACGTTTGGCCTTTTACCAGCATGATGGCACAAGACCTTTAAATCCTGCTTCTGCTAGAAGCTGATTTGGCAAGGACGCGCGGCTTGAAAGGCTATTTAGAGCAATTTGTCAATGCTTGTGAAGAGCCGTGCCACAATAGATGGCGTCGTCCTCTGAATTTAGATGGCGTAGGAAAAACTCACCCCTCGAGCAACATGGGAAATACAACTATTTGAGACACAGCTTAGTTTGATGGCAGCGTACAATCATACGGCAGCTTCTTTAGAAGCTGAAAAGTAGCAATGCTACCAAAGATGGTCCACCGAGGAGCAGCATGTCAAGTTCAGAGGAACTGTTCGAATGTGTCTATGACTCATGGCGGTCAATGGAAGCTTTTCTTCTTCACCATCCTTGGGATGGCGCATGGAGGCCAAGCCATTCGGGGGCAAGATCACATGCCACGGGGCTAGGTTTCAAGTGAACACACACAGGACTCAAATGCAACGCGATGAATGTTCCATGATCATTGAGGGCAAATACCTCCCTGAAGATCAACATGAACTCCTTGAGAGAGGTCCTCCAAAAGCACATTGCTTCAAACAAAGGGCCTGTTTCGGACATAATGCATACATACATATATGTGTATCGTACATAAAACAAATAACGGGGGTGCACTCTGAGACCCTCCAAAGCCTTCTACATTGAGCCCCTGCTGCCAAAGGGGGCAAGAGGTTCGCTTGGCTTGCTTGATCATGGCAAAACCATGGTGCCATGCGGTTCTTCTGTGATACGTCGCCCAGCAGCCTGGTGTCCTTTTTCAATTAACAACCAGGCAAGGAACGCCGCGAAAAGAATGTCACCCCGTTGGGATGGGCTCCCTTGCAGGCCTCCTCGCAAATCGCAGTGCACTGCTCAGACACTGAGCGGCGCCCAGCGCCTTTGTTTGCAGCCCATGCGCTTCAAAATTCCCAAGGAAAAGCAGCAGGACCTGCAAACTTCCTTTCTTATGGCTTCCTCTTTACCTGATGGTATCCTGATGGTTTGGAGGGGGTATGTCTGGGCAAATTTAAAGCGATAGCAGAAGTTTCGGTTTGCGACCTACAACTGAAGGGAACCCTACTTGGGGGAATCATGGTATTTTTCCACTTGGCCTGAATAGAACTAGACCTCTCTTAAACTGGACGGTCTCCCTTTGGTTTTTCCTTCAAGACCCACTGCAAAGGGGCTCCTGGTTTCACTCAGATTAGTCACGCTGATCCGACCTGTTTCGAGAAGTTTCATATTGTTTCCAGAGCCCCGAGTCAAGAAATCTGGTTGTCGGGGAAACAAAAGCAGAACGTTAACCAAGGGCCCAGCCTCTGACCAAAATGAAACTGAGAAATCCTGCAGAACCTCCAGAATCGTCCTTTTTACCTGGGCGTGTCTTTTGGAAGTAACTACTGCAAGAATAGACATTTGATGCCCACCCAAAAACAGTGCCCTAACTTGCTGTGGTAGTTTACTGAATAGGAAGCTTTTCACTGTCTATTTGTTGTTGAAAATTGAGGCGACAAAACCACCAACGGCTGGGACTTCTGGGTTGGCAAGAGAAACCCGCATACAGTCACCCCTTCTCTCATGGAAAGCAAGCCTACATTGCCAGAGTTGAATGTGGAAGGTGTCAGCGGTATTTGTTGATGCCCTCAAATTTCACAAACATCATGCCACCCAAGGGCCGCACTCTTCGACACCCCTTCCATTCCCCACATTTGTCGATATCTTGCAATGAGGTATTTGCCCATGGCTTTGGGGCGGACTTGGGGGTTCCTGGGTTCCGGGGAGGTTCTGGGGGCTGTTAGGTTCCCTGCTTGCACTTTGCTTGCCAGCGTGTTGCTCTTTCTTGTTGTGTGCACTTGCGGGGTTGGCCGGTTCAGTTGCAATCTATGAACGATGATCTTGCCATTTCTTCTTCGTCTACAAGGTTGCAGGTCTTTTGGGGAACAACTGATACCACAACTGATATCTTGTCCCAACGGGTTCTTCGCAGCTCTCGTCAATTGGGTTGCAGTAGCAGATCCGCTTTCTCTCTCGCGTGTTTCTTTCTTTTGTGGTACCCCCTGTTCTTTTTGCGTTGTTCTTTTTGGGGGAACGGGGGTCCAACCCAAACCCAAAGGCCCAGCAAAGGCCCAACAAAGGACCGACCGGGACCGACCGGGACCGACCGGTGGCCATGTGGCCTGGGTTATAGCCTATGCCTCGGATGAACACCCATGTACCGCCTTTTTTTTGTTGATGAGGGTAGGGTTTTGACCACCACAGCCCATGTCGTTGGGTTGTTGGGTGGTGCGCCTAGCCCAAAATGGCTGTGGCTCAAAAACACGGTGCCAAAATGGGTTGCCCTGGCAAGTGGAAACATGGACCAAAACCTGCGGAATTAACCCCTCCGATCGTTTAATTTTGATTGCCTACCAAAAAAGCGGAATTCCAAAATGGCTTGCCCTGGTAAGTGGAAACATGGACCAAGACCTGCGGTTTGCCCCTCCGATCGCTTAATTTTGATTGCCTCGCCCAAATGGCACCCACAGCCATGTCGATGTCTCTAGGGGTCGATTCCCCATTCTTTTCCACCATCGTTCTTTCCAAAAACCGGATCCGTTTTCCCTGGGTTTCGGGTTTCCTAGAAGATTCGGATCCCTGGGTTCAGAATGGACATGGAAGGTACCCACAGCCATGTCAGGTGGCCTTGGGCCGGATGTCGGCGACCTACGGCCTGGGCTTCTTCGGGGGCACCTTGGCCACCGCCTGGGCCGCCCAGCGCCTCACGCCGCGGCAGATCGCCTGGGCCGCCGTGGCCTTGGAGGCGAGAGGAGACGAAGTTGGGAGTGGGGGTGAGGGAGGCGGGGAAGCAGAGGAAACCAAGAAGAACCGAGGGAAACCAAGGGGGACCAAGGGAAACCAAGGGAAGCCAAAGAAAACCAAGGGGAACCAAGGGATGGGGGAGGGGAGAGGGAGGGGAGAGGGAGGGGAGAGGGAAACCGAGTTGTTCCTTCCTTTGTCCCAAGTGGTTGGTGCTTGTTTTACAATAAGTTCCCAGTTCGTGAATTATTCCCTGAGAGGCGGCCGGCTAGATAGGTGAGGGAATGGTGAGGGTGTTCGGAGCGCTGCTCGACCGGGAAAAACAGCAACGATTCATCCATAATCCCACAGTTTTTCGGCCGGCCCAGTCCCAGGGGGGGCCGCACAGATGAGCAAGGCAAAGTAGAAGTAGAAGATGGTATGAAGATGGTTGAAACAGGCCTTAACGTGAAGCTACCTTACAAACAGCAGGCTCGCGTGTTGGTTTGCCTGTTTGTTTGTCCTCTCGTTGATCTTAGCAAGCGAGTTTGGCATAGGCTGTGCTGCATGAGCATCGATGGCCATCAACCCCCAGAGTTACTCCGATGCTAAAACATATTCACTAGAGGTCTCTGTGACTCACCATGACCAACACTCTTGGACCAAGGCAAGGTTTCTCAGGTCCCTCAGACCATGATCCAACGCTCTCATGGCCCGAGCCATTTACTTTGGTGCAGTTTGTTTGGACGTTAGGGCTTTAACTTTTTGCCAACTAATGGGTTGTCCATTAAACCACTAAAAGCTAAACTTTTAGCAGGGGAGCAGCAAGCAACCGAGTTGATTTCTAAGAATTTGAAAGCACCTGGCTCTCGGAAGACCTCAGGAAGCGCGCACAGGGAAGGGTCGGGGGTGGCTACCTGAAGCCCAGCGTGGTGGCAAGATGCACGCGTCAGTGTTGTGCCTGCATCATGACCACATCTTCAGAGGTGTCAGGTACCCCGAGTCATAACACTACTGCCACCACACTACCCCTCCCCCCCCATCTTAGTCTTCCCAAGTTCCAAGGGGTGTGGACAGTGTGTGCGTGTGCGGAGGGTCCCCAAACGGAAAAATGACCTATGTACCGGGCTCCTGTGGTAAGGAGGCTTATCGTGTGGCAAACCGTGGGAATCACGGCAAAAGGATGCAACCATTGTTAGGATCAATTTTTGGGCCATTGGGGTGCCATGTTCATTCTATATGTTACATGTGTATATGTAGTATATATGTCGTGTATAGACAAATTCTGCACGGTTCTGTCTTCCTGCATTTGCCGCCGGCAGGCCAGTGTCATCGGCACAGTGCTGGTAGGATATCCAAACGGCATCTTGGCTGAGCAGGTGGTCGGATTTTGAGTCGACCCCGCCGTTTCTCAGCGCCTGTGTTGGTGGTTGGTGCGGTTTTCGAGCTGAGGGATTGCTGAGTAGGACCTTTTTTTCCAAGAGGCGGGGGAACCCCAACATGAGTGGGTTCCTGTCCACGACAATGATAGTGAGCTCACATGGGGAAGACGAGCTCACCCAAGGCTTGGGGATTGCTTGTTGCTCCCACTAACATGGCACCTTAACAGGGGTCCGTTTTAGAGGAAGCTCCCACAGATGCTCTGTTAGTGGAAGGAAGGGTACTCTAACAATTAAGGACATGTGCGAAGCTTCCTCTAGAACTGACAAAATGGCCAGAACCGCTCAAGGATTTCCTACTTCTGATTTTCGGGTTGAAGAATTCTGACACTTTTGCCATCAGAGCCATGCGCGCTCATTGCAACATCAGGGGGGTCTTTTTGCCACATTTTGAGAAAATTGGCGACCCCCTTAAAAAGGAACCCTTCACTACGAGGGGGTCGAACAATTTTGAAACAAAAGGTGGCAAAAGGACCCCCCTTGTCAACTTTCTGTTCAGGGATCCTGCTCGTTTGACAATGGGTAGAGGTGGTTTCAGAAGAAAACAATGGGTGAAGAGAGTGGGGAATCAACCCTTAGAATCCCAGAAGCCCAGTGGTGCCCTTTTTGCCTGACGGGTTAGTCTTGAAAATAGACTACGAAAAAAAAAAAAAAAAAAAAAAAAAAAAAAAAAAAAAAAAAAACCAAAAAAAAAAAAGAAGACTAGACCACGGTTGGCCCGAAAGCAGAACATCGCAAGCGAGGTCGGCCCAACGCTGCATCCCTACACGAAGCATTTGTGAAGCAAGCGCGAGACAGCACCAGGCAAGGTGCTCTGCGCAAACTGGTCGGTGCAAGTTGGTCTGCGCAAGTTGCTCTACGCAAGTTGCACTGTGCAAGTTGCTCTGCGCAAGTTGCTCCGCGCAAGTTGCTCCGGCAAGTTGGTCCCTGCAAGTGGCTCCCTGCAAGTTGCTCTGTGCAAATTGCGCTCCCTGCAAGTTGCTCTGTGCAAGCTGCTCTGTGCAAGTTGCTCTGTGCAAGTTGCTCTGCGTAAGTTGCTCTGCGCAAGTTGCTCTAGGCAAGGCGCTCTGCGCAAACTGGTCGGTGCAAGTTGGTCTGCGCAAGGTGCTCTGTGCAACTTGCTCTGCGCAAGTTGCTCTGCGCAAGTTGCTTTAGAATGCAAGTTGCATCTTGCGACGCCCGCCCGCGGACCAGGGAGGAATCGAACCCGCGACCCGCCGGTTCCGCGAACCACGAGACAACTCCCGAGGACCAGTTCGAACAACAAAAGTCGCAAAAAACCTCGAGTTTTTGCACCTTGACCACGCCGATTCCCGCAGAGGGTTGCGCGAGCACCGCAGAAATCGCAAAAAACGTCGAGTTTTTGCACCTCGACCACGCCGATCCCTGCAGAGGGTTGCGCGGGCACCGCAGAAATCGCAAAAAACATGGGTTTTTGCACCTCGACCACACCGATCCCCGCAGAGGGTCGCGCGGGCATGTTGGAAATCGCAAAACACCATGGGTTTTTGCACCTCGACCACGCTGATCCCCGCAGAGGGTCGCGCGGGCATGTTGGAAATCGCAAAAAACCATGGGTTTTTGCACCTCGACCACGCCGATCCCCGCAGAGGGTCGCGCGGGCACTTTAGAAATCGCAAAAAACCATGGGTTTTTGCACCTCGACCACGCCGATCCCCGCAGAGGGTCGCGCGAGCACTTTAGAAATCGCAAAAAACCATGGGTTTTTGCACCTCGACCACGCCGATCCCCGCAGAGGGTCGATTTTCGTGTAGTGTCGTCGGCACTACCCCGCCGCCCTAAGAAGAGATTTTAACTCCTCGCAAGTCAATTGCACTTGACTCCTTGCACTTGCAACTTGCACTCGACTCCTTACACTTGCAACTTGCACTTGACTCCATGCACTTGCAACTTGCACCTGACTCCTTGCACTTGCAACTTGCACTTGACTCCTTGCACTTGCAACTTGCACTTGACTCCATGCGCAGCTCGCAATGACTCTCATGACTCCTTGCAATGACTCCTTGCAATGACTCCTTGCAATGACTCCTTGCAATGACTCCTTGCAATGACTCCTTGCAATGACTCCTTGCAATGACTCCTTGACTCCTTGCAATGACTCCTTGCAATGACTCCTTGCAATGACTCCTTGCAATGACTCCTTGCAATGACTCCTTGCAATGACTCCTTGACTCCTTGCAATGACTCCTTGCAATGACTCCTTGCAATGACTCCTTGCAATGACTCCTTGCAATGACTCCTTGCAATGACTCCTTGCAATGACTCCTTGCAATGACTCCTTGCAATGACTCCTTGCAATGACTCCTTGCAATGACTCCTTGCAATGACTCCTTGCAATGACTCCTTGCAATGACTCCTTGACTCCTTGCAATGACTCCTTGCCATGACTCCTTGCAATGACTCCTTGCAATGACTCCTTGCAATGACTCCTTGCAATGACTCCTTGCAATGACTCCTTGCAATGACTCCTTGCAATGACTTTCATGATGATGATTCCTTGCAATGACACCTTGTAATGACTCTCATGAGAACAACTCAAGTGAACCCAGCGGAAGAACCCTTCGCCATGCTTTCGGGAAAAAAAGAAGAAACACAAAAAACAAGAGCCATTTCTTCCCCAGCCACTTGCCCTTCTTTTCGCGAGGCGACAGCCAGAAGGGCGAGGTCACCCTGTCACTGCCCGGCTTTAAGGAGATCCTGCAGCGCCGGGGATCTCGGAGCGACGGCTGGCAGGGCACCCGCTCTTGGTCTTCCTCATGAGTATATAGGTTTTGGAGGGCGCCAAATGGAGGGGGGCAGTTTTAATGACAAGCCAAAAGGAACTGGGTGGGCAAACATGGAGGGGGGGGGCAGTTTTAATGGGAGGCCCAAAGGAAAACCATCCAGGTGGGTTCCCTGATTTTATGACACGCCATGAACCATGGTTTCATGTTGGTTTCTTATAAACATCCCGAACTTCATCTACGTCTGCGAACAGCCCTCGGACATCCCCATAATGCTTCTTATAAATTGGCTGGTTTGTGTTGCTTTTGGTTTCCCTTCAACAATGGCATCCCGTCATTTTGTGACATCCCCAATATGGAAGGCTCCGGCAAACCGGCATCTAAAAGAAGGTTCCTTCCCGATGTGTGCTGCACCTCCCCCGGAGTTTCCCTTCAAGCAACGATGCCCGGTCGTCATGCGTAATTCCCAACTGGGGCACTTTGCCTTAAACATGCCATCCCAAAGGGTGCCCCCCAACTCAATTAAGGCATCCCCTTTTGGGTCACCCCTCCGAGTTGGTAGCTTCCTCGTGTGACTCCAGCAGAGTACATAAGCCACTGAAGTAAAGTTATCTTGTGGGGCAACCAACGGGCAGATCCCTTACCCATGGGTGAAGTGGAAGCAAGGCCAAGTTTCTTTGGGTTGCCTGGGCTGAAGTTCAAGGCGACGCACCACGCTGTTTTTGGATCCCAAACAAGGGCCAGAACGTAGCGCAACCGCTTCACTTTCGCTGTCAGGTCCTCACGTGCTGTCGCTGGTGCTGTCCAAGTTGGCAACAGCTACCGCAGGCGCGCGTCTGAATAAGACCTTTCCAGACGGGTCGAGACAGGTGCCCCAGCAATACGTTGCTAGCCCCAACTCTTGAGTGTGTCTCGGGAATACAACTGGCTGAAGTTTTCTCTAGTTTTCGGCATTTCAATAGCCCAGGAATTGTTGCAGTTGTATGTGGCGACTGGAGCTTTCAGGCTTCAAATTCCAGTTTTGGCAAGTAGGCTGCAAAGGAAAGTGAAAGAGGAAGGGTGGAGGCTGAACACTTTGGCATGATTCTGGTCCTCTAAAGTGCCATTTTGTGTCCCCACAGAATGAGTTCATACAACATGTGCGCGTTTAGGACGGACTGCTTTGGGTTCCTGAAAGGCCTGGTTTGGACCAGTGCCAATAGACCTTCCAAGCAGCTGGCCGGCAAATTTTGTGTTCGAACTGAGGCCCCAGGCTTCAGAATCCGATTGCTTGGAGCCAACGGGAGCCTTCAGGCTTTAACATCCACACATATGCTTTTATGCAGGTTCATGCCAGAATCTATTTATTTGTTTGGAGTCTTGGCAGTTTGGGGGGCGCCAACTGGAGCTTCGAGGCTTCAGAATCCATTCAGTTTTGAGCATTTGTTTGCAGCTTTAGGTGCCAACCAGAGTCGTCAGGCCTCCAACTGCAATAAATTATCGCAGTTTTGGCAAGTGTTGATTGCCAACTGCAGCTTGCAGGCTTCAAATTCATTCTGTTTGCGGCGGTGCTTGCAAGTTTTAGCACCAACTGGAGCTGTCAGGCCTGAGAAAACCATGCAGTATTCCAGCTTTTGCAGTCTTTGAGTGTCAACTTGAGATTCATAAAAGGGCGCAGTCCCATTTTTCCTCTGCCCACTAGCACGCAGGCGGCATGCTGCTGACCATGATCCCCCAGTTTGCCATGGACCCCTTCGGCCTTTCCGCGGCGCAGACCAGCCTTCTCATGGCCTACGCAGCTCGGACATGGAGGGGTTCTCAGTTTGAGGGGCGAAACAAGCTACAGGGAAACGTGCAAGGGGCAAAAACAACTTGGCTGCTGTTGGGTTGGATCTTTAGACTTGTTTTTTTTGAAATCAAGGGATGTTCCACTAAACTCACAACAAGTTATTTTTTTTGCAGAGGGATCAGCAGCAACCAAGAAAATACGAGCATGATTCTCTCATGATCATGAAATAAATTGATTTCATAGTACCCCACAACCCAGAAGCCCGTGCTGATTGTTTTAAGGCCCTTTGTGACTTGTCCTGTTCTGGGGAAAGGCATATTCCCAAAAGAAGTGGAAGTTCGGTTCTGTGAGGGGGGGAAGGATCATTGCAAGCCGCGTCGGAAGACCCCTGGATGTCGTAAGTGAAGTCGGGAGGTGCCTCATAGCGTTTCACTCCCCAGTTGAACACGGGAGTTTTCCAGAAAGACGATAGCACGTGGCCAGTCTTGACATCGCTTGGTGTCTCGGGGTTTGCACTTGGCATTTCGACAATGAGCCATTCGGCCAAGCCATCCCAGCAAAAAATGAGGAGTAAATTGAACGGATTTCCCCAAACGTCTCCTGTGTTTTCTTTGTGTCTCGACGCAACGAAACGACGCATCTTGGCCTTCTGAATTTGTCCCATTTGGTTCAGACCTATCTACAGGTCTGCAGACTGAAAAGGGAACTTCGAATCGATCTTCGGGGAGGTCCCCGGTCTCCTTGGCACGTCGGGAACTTGCTTGGCAGCCGAGGTCAGCGGCCTGCAGCTGGTTGCGCAGGCGCCGGGGGTGAAGTTTTGAAATCAATTGGTACAAAACAGAGCATATGATGGTCCGTCTTTTGTCCTTCTTTGGTGGTTTTCACGGGGAACCAAGAAGGAAACCGCCATTTTTTGGGGGGGGGTTCGGCAAGAAAGGACACACGCATAATATGTTTCTGAACCAGTCATGGCCATGTTTACCTGGATGTTCAACCCACTTGGGACGTACATGTGGGGTGGGTATTGAACCGGTCGATTTTGGACACCACATGCACTATGCCCTGCAAAACGATACAAAGAACAAGTCGAGGAGAACCATTGGTAAGACTCGAGCGCTTGACACTTGATCGAGGAGGTCCAGTTTGGCAGTGGGGCGCACTAGGTGCAAGCAACAGAAGGTAAGACAGGCGTTTGCTTGTGTATTGCTTTTGACCTGAACCTTTTTTGAATGAGAAACAAGCAGTTTCTTCCAAATCCCTCGCCACTTCAACGCCGCAACGGTCATTGCAGTTCGCAAGCCGCTTTGATACAACCCCACAGAATCTGACTGCTTGGCTGAATGCATGCACTGGGGCAAAGTTTGGAGAGACCTCACTGACCGGGGTTTGCGACCTCTCCCGTGATGCAGGTTGCTTCTTGTTCTGTTGTTTAGAATCATTGTCATCCACCCAGATGTATCCACATGAACCTTTCATTTGGCGGCTCTTTGTTTTTCCTGTGTTGAGCCGTGCTGGTGGGTCTAATACGCCCAGAGAGCAGGGGTCCGTCCACAGGGGGGCCTTTGCATTCGACCTTCAACTGGTTCAGCTTGACTTGCTAAACCTGGGGCGCTAAGGTGAGGAAGACTGGGCGGCGAACGACCGGGGCAGCTAGGGGCAAAGGAAACAGTTCAATCTTGCAAGCTGGCAAGCTGCTTTGCCAACCAAACCATGGCGCGCCATGTCACCCAGATAGCCAACAGGCACTGAAACCAGCAAAGACAATAAGTTAAGATGCCAACGGGAGACCATTCATATTGGGTTTCCACATTCCGTTGGGTTACAACCCACCCCCATTTTTTAGGAAACAAAGCGAGTACTTGGGGACAACCCTTGTTTGCGCCGACCCTCAATCCTTGGGTGTGAAAGGGGTCTCCTTGGTCTTCCAGGGATGGAAATTCCCTCGGCTCCGGGCAGAACCGATGCGCATCCGCAGACCTTCCTGGTGCCTCAGCTGGGCGACTTGGGCCCCCGCAGCCTGCGGATGGTCTCCAACGCCGCCGTGCTGCCGCTCGGGTGGGTCGATGTGGCAGTCGGGTTGGGGGGGGGGGAGGGGTTGGTTTGGGCTGTAAAGCGGGGTCAAGGTAAGAGTCGGGTGTGGTGGGGGGTTTGGTGAGGGTCAGAGTCCTGGCATGGGTTCCCCCAATTCGAGTCTGGGCTGTAAAGTGTATCAGCATGCATCAGCCAAGAACCATACCATAACAAATCATTAAAGGCGGTGTTCAAAACAGACCCTAAGTGTCTACCATCCAAGGGTGGGGGGCAGGGAAAACAATAGTGTCTCTGCCATATACGCTGTCGTTCGGAGCGGCTCCTTGGGTTCTGGAAGCCTACGAAAAGGGTGACCCACGCCATCAAATGGCGACCGAGGCATCCAAAAAGAATCCATGACCATGATCCCAATTTTTGGTCAAGAAGGAAAACCGAAAGGGGACCATTGATTTACAACCAACGCCCATCTCCATCGTAGGTAGGGAAACCGGGGCTCCACTTTGGGTCCTGTGAACGTGAAGGCATGAAGCCAGTGGATCACATTTGGGGCTCTGGCTGAGGGGCCCGCTGCTGGGGCTCAGCGTGCTGGGAACCTCGCCCAAGGCTGTCCGGCCGCAAGTAGCCGTTGAGGGAACCCCCCCGGTCGTAAGACACTTGGGGCCAACAGGACTCAACGGGCGAACTGAGAAACAGGCTCCGATCCGTTGCCCCAAATATCACCAAATCATTTGAGTCATCCAAGAGGAACCCCAAGGGTTTTGTATCCAATTCTTGGGTCGCCCAAGCCTCAAATTTCGAAAAGGGGGCTGATTTGTCCGAACGGCGGAAGCTGTGTGGTCAGTTTCCTGGAGGCTTCCAGTCACAGTTCCAGGTTGAGGTTTCAGGAAGGTTCTGTTGGGTGTTTCCCCGGCTGCCTTCCAAGGGGCGCCTTTGTTTGCCCAGAGAGGGCTGTTAAGGCTGTCAATATGATCCTAAGGGGTCTCAATTGTCGTTGGTAGTTCCCAGATGATCCACACATACATATATATATATATATATGATATATATATATATATATGCATATATGCATATATATATATACACTAGATATATATATATATATTATAGAGAGTGGATGTGATGTAATGTAACGTACTGTAATGCAATGTGAATGGAATGTAATGCAATGTGAATGGAACGTAATACAATGTAATGTAATGGCATGTAATGCATGTATTTGGGAGGCTGGTTGCCTTTGGGATCCAGGCGAGGGTCAGGCGGTTCTAAGCAAAGAAGTCCGACATCCGGAGGCCTACTGCGCGCTGGTGGGCCCGCTGGTCGCCGTGGCCTATGCAGGGTCGACCGCCCAGGGCAGCGCCGTGTCCGGAAAGGGGGAGAGGTGGGGGAGGAGGGTGGTGGGGGCGGGGTCTTGGGGGAGGGTTTGGGGATATTTGTTCGGATTGTTTGGGTGAGGGAGGTGGTTGCAGCCATGTGTATTTTGTTTCTTTGCCAATTTGTGTCGAGGGGCTCTACAGATCAAGTTTCCAGGGTTGCCCTGAAAGAAGGCGCAGCATAAAGAGATGATGTTTCCACAGCGGCTAGGACCATATCAAAAGTAAGCTTGCAACTGCCCAACCCTTGCAGGGGGAGATTTGGTTTTAGGTGGGCAGGCGGTCGCTGTTCTGACATTGAACGGATGCAGTAGCATGCAGCGCAGACCATAATTTGTATTTGGCGGCAGGGATGACGTCCTTCACAAGGAGTAGTCTTCAGAAGGGTTGTGACCCACAACATAGCCGGCTTGAGCCTATGCAGGAAAAGACCAAAGTTTTCACTCTGGTCGAAGCCTTAGGCACTTCCACTTGGTCCGGAGGCCAAGCTCGCTGGGCATCATTACATCCACACCCTCGCGGCCACGCTCTGCGCACCACGACGCCCCTTTTGGCGCTGACCTTTGACCGGAAAACTTGTAGCACCCCACTTCATCGCCGCGGTTACCACCGGCATCGCCACGGTCTGCTACATCTCTCAGCGCAAGGCCTACGGCCCCATCTCACGAGTGCATGGGAAAAGAGTTCGGCAAGACATTCCTCACGGATGGGGCATCTCATGGGCGGCGATCTTGGACGACGCACTTTGCCAAGCTGATGCTCTAGTACCGGGCTTGCATCCGGATGATGTGATCGGCCAGAGAATCGCCTTGGACCTTCGGTTGCCCGTCCGTAGACATGGGAGATGCCCCGCGTTGGTTGCGCCCCAGCACCCTGCGGAGATCGCGAGATCCAGACAACTCGCTGGCTGGAGTCTTTCTTTGAGCGCCGCCACTCAGACAATCACGACGTGGAGTGGCAGTTGAAGCGCGGTCAGCGCGCGGGCCTGGACATGAACAACGTCACCAAGAGCTACTCACCAAGATGATCTTCGACTTCAGGCGCTCGGAGGTCCGAGGTGCTCTGACCCTCGCACTACGTCAACGCCAGTGGCGGCGGTGGAGATGTGTGCTACGAAGGTGGAGAACAGGAGATGGAGCAGCACAAACGGACGGGCGCTGGGGCGACGAGCGCTGGTATGGTTATCACGACAGCCAAAACACCACGGCTATGAAGACTACCACGACGACCAGGAGTATGGTGGCTGAAGAAAACTATGAAGACTGGGCAGAGCGTGCTATCTTGTAAGTCCGCGCTTGCCAGCTCACTGGTGCAAATCACGCCGCCCCTCTAATCTCCGCGTTCGCCTGCCGCGGCGCTGACGTCGACTTGTCCTGAACGACGCGGGCGCTCTCCTGCAGGTCTCCGACCTATCTCGCCGAGCTCTACATGATCGCGGACCGCTATCCAAGTTGGAAGCGCTGTGCCTCGGACCAGCGGACTTCTTTGCTCGCGTGGGTCTTCGCCCCATGCATCTTCTTCCTTCCGCATTGCAGTCGGGGCTGCTGAGGAGGTCGCCTTTCGCCTCTTTCGCCTTTAGCTAAACGCAACCCCGTCGGCGAGACAGAGTACTTGAACATCGTTGGCCGCTGTTGCCCCTCAAGAGAGGTACCAGGTCCAGTGCCCAGCAGCCACAGCAAGCGCCTGGTCAAGTGTGCCACACGAGAAGACGAAACCTGTGCATTTAGACTCGAACAAGTTCGCAGTTCAGCGCGCGGTTTTTGCGGGCTTACCTATGGCAGCAGGAAGCCTACGCTCGTCTCAGGAGCGGGTGGACGCCTACACCGGCGCAGGCACTTCTATGATCTAGAGCGACAGCGTAAATTTCCGAGCAGATGTGCCAAAGCCAATGAAGAGACGGCCTGCCAGGGGCAAGGGCAAGTTCTGGAACACGGAGCGCCCTCTTGAGATGAAGAGGTCTCACCGCGATGGCGACCCGGCAAGGAGAAGATCCCTGCATGCGTGGGCCGTCCGTGCCCTGCGCCAAACGGTCTGCACCTACGTCGCGAGACAAGTCCTGGAAGAAGAGATGCTATCTTTCGGCGATGACAGGGTTTGAGAGCGTCGTGAATGCCACGCTTGACTGCCACATTTTTCTTAGTGGGCGCGATGGCACCAGGCGTCATCGTGCGCAGATGGTTGTTTCGCTCAAGATTCAAGACGAGTGCGAGAAGGGTGAAAGAGCTGCGAAATCCAGTGATGAGGGCGAAGCTTCGCCCGCAACTACGGCAAGCGCTCCACCTACGGCATCTCGATTTCATCGGCCGACGTGCCGACATGTAAAGGGCAAAGCCACAATATGTCTCTCGAAAGCATTGTTTCACGACTCACGACCAGAGCAGGAAGCGGAGTGTAGTTGCACGTGCTCATGTGAGCCTGCAACATAGCCGGCTTGAGCCTACGCAGGAAAAGACCAAAGTGTTCATTGTCGGCGGTGTTCTGACGGAAGAGAGTCGACCGTTGTTTTTTCGCGGCAGAACGGAATGGACATCAGCTCTCAAGTTCTGGGGGCAAGATTCTGTTGGATGCACTTTATCTATTGAATTTCCAACTTGTTGCGGGAACCGTCCAGCCACCATTACCGGTCACATTGCTGGGTCCCAGTCCAGATGGCCGCAAGAGAAGGCGCAAGGGCCGCGGAAGGGCCCGACTCATACTACCACATGGCCCTTGGCAATTTCGAGCCAAACTTTCAACTGCTCAAGATGGCGGCCAGGCGCAAGGTAATTGCTTCCCTACGTCCAGCGTGTTTTTTGCAGCCAAGTGAACTAAGCCTACAGCCACGCATTTCATCCAAAAGCAAGCTTTGACAATAAGGTTACCTCCAACCGCCAAGGCAGCAAATTTAAGGGTTCATCGACCGGATGCATTGCCGCGTTTTCTCACTGACATTGGCCGAGGCCTCATGTCCTGCCTATCGCCAGAGAGTGAGTCAGGCGGGACAAAATCCTGGACGGCTTATCTCACGCCGGAAACTGGCATGTGCCAACTTGCAAGCCAAGCAGATGCGGATCGCAAATGGTAAGTGGGTTTTCTTGCCCCAACCATAGTCCCACAAGGCTCATTTTGTAGTTCAGCTCTTCCCGGCCCAGTCAACCTTTTCACATGCAAAACTTTCAGTCTGCAGTTAGCAGGCAGCCAGGGCAAGATGAGATGAAGCACCGGCCGCTTACATACATTTCGTCTTTTGGGGATCCCGTCATCCAGCTCGGTGTCTCGCTATGACTCTCTTTCTTTGTCTCTCTCTTTCTCTTTCTCTTTCTCTTTTTCTTTCTCTCTTCTTCGCACTCAGTCTCTCTCTTTTCTTTTCTGTCTCTCTCTCTCTCTCTCTCTCTTCGCTCCTCTCTACTCTCTCCTCTCTTTTTGTTTGTGCTCTGTCTCTCTCTAACATATGTACTTTTACAGATAGGTGTTTGCTGGTGGAGGCCGATGTCTCTTCAGCAATGGGCAACATGATGCATTGGCCGCAAGCCGTGAATTGTAAAGCAAGTTCCGAGGTCCTTGCAGTAGAGAAAACTGCTCAAGTGCAGCTACAATGAAGCATTCGACGCGCGAAGAGGCAGTCACTAGCCACTGGGATCACTGGGACAATGTTCATGGGATGCAGGAATCATGTGTTTACCAAGGCCATGCAACTGGACTGGCAACAATTGGCAGTGTTGTGCGACTGGGATGGGATGCCCACGTGTCCAGCTATCAACCGGCACTTTGGTTCGAGCTGGCTTAAAGAAGAAACATGTAAAGCAAGGTATCAATCTCTTACAGTTCCAGTAGGTTCCCCGTAACATTGCCTTCCAAAGCAGGCGTTTAAGACAAGGAGAGCAATTTTTGCACTGGAAAGCGCGGTTGTTGCGTGGAATGAAAGGGTCGAAATTCATGCAAAGAGATGTTTTGGAAGCTTCTGGAAGGTTTTGGATTCCGGCGGTTTGATTGAGCGTTGGCTGGATAGGGTGGAGGGTTCCGGAAGATTCTAGAAGGTCTCCTGTGGTTCCATGGTGTGGTTGCTCTTTGCGTTTCTTTGCGGAACACAAATGAGAACGAACGCCTCTCCTTTTGCAATTTGGGAGGTTATTCCGACCATCACACTTATAGCCTAAGCGGGACGCCTAAGCGGTGCTTATTACTCCCCCTTTGGCTCAATCCCCTTGAACTCACAGCTACACCTTTGTCTGGGACCTCACCCATCAGGCTCCATGCATGGAGAAACCTTCTTTCAGTTCCCATTTGGGGGCCATAGGTGTTTGTCTTTGTTCTGCGTGATGGACACATTGCACCGGTTCACACCAGTTCAAACTTCACATTTGGGAGGAAACATCCGAAAACATTTGAACAACGCCGTTTTGGACACTGGCGCTTTCAAAATGTCACCCAAGGGAATTTGGTTGGAACCAAAGAAAGTTATCTTAGCCCTTTTTGTCGCTGACACGAAGTTGCAAGCCCAGTGGTGGGCCGGCCGGGGTTTTGGGTGTGCCGCGCAGGGGCCATGGTGGCGCTGAGCACCGCGCCGCTGAGCTTGGGCTTCTTGGTGTCGCCTTTGATGGCGGGCTGGGCGCCTCGTCCGCAGCTGGGAACCCGTTGAGTGGCCGGCTTTTGGGCTGCCTGGGTTGCTTTAGACCCAATTCGGGAAGCTTAAAGCGGGATGGGGGGCGCTTTGGGCGGCCGTTCTTTTTTGCTTCAGACCCAATTCGGGGTGGTTTAAGGAGAAACCAGAAGCCAACCTGGGTTGTGTTGGGCTGTTTTTGCTTTGGACCAACAAAATTCGGAAGGAGAAACCACTAGCCGATTCTGCATGGGGTTGCCCATTACCCATGGCTCCATGGCCCTGGATTAATGTGGCGGCTCCGGTTGGTTGTGTGCTTTGTGAGGGTTCGCTTTGCAGGTTGGTTCAGGAGACCAGAAGGAAAGCCACCATTTGTTGGATCCACGTCCCTGTTTTGGCTCAAAGCCAGTTGAATATGCTTGAGCCATCGTTGCAACATCAACTCTGTACAAACTAAACAAACCTTAATGGGATACGCGCGTTTGCAAACGGCACTATTTGCGCAAGCCAACTCCTTTTTCTGTCTCTTCCGATTTCTATCTCACGGAATCAAGTGAGTTTTGTCGCTGCTGGGGTTGGGAGGCCGCAGCCCGCAAGCGGCTGTTGGTTGGGCCGGCCCTCAGCCACAGCGAGTCACATCAGATTGTACTACGTATGGGTCAGAATCAAAACACTTGTTTCTGGTTGGGTGGCAAAAGCTGAGGCAGTCAAAAGCTGAGGCAGTCATGATCTTCCATTTGCTTAAGAATATGTTTTATTTTCCCCTGTTGGTTTTAAAAGGAATATATCACTACTGGAAATATTTCATTTTCCCAGGGGTCTTAACCAAATGGAAGTGATCTTCAACGCCCAGCTGACACTTGCGTCTTTCAGCTGTCCAACCAGCCGTTCCAAAAGCACACATGCATGAATCGGCAGGTGAGCCACCCACAATTCCCACATTTCTTCCACATAAGTTCCCCAGGAGAGTCAAAAGGCAAACCTCGCCATTGCTTTTCTCACAGTGCGGGGATGTGACAATGAGGGTGTTCCCCCACTTCCGCGATACAAGGGGGGTGTTCCCTCGTGAAGCATTGGACGTTGGGAAGGCCTTTCAGTATGACACAAGTTTCAATTCTCGACGGCGCTGAGCAATCCCCTCATGGCGTCATGGCAGTTCCCTCTGAAACGCGACCCCAAAGGGCCTCCCCAGTTTCGATGGTCAATTGAATTGGCTCCATTGGCCACGCCGATGAGATGAGAAGAGCCGACAAAGAACCATGGAGTTTCTTGGGGGCCAGGGCTAGTCACGTAGTTGAAAAGGTGAGCCAAAGTCGTGTGACTCGCCCTTTGGGCGAATTTGCAAAGTTGCTTTGGGTACAAAAGGGGTCTCCTTTGTAGTGGTTTCCTAAAAGAAGTCATGGGCTCGCATTGGCTAAACCTGGGGAAATGAGTTCAGTCTTGAAAATTGCCGCAAGAAGCGCCCCAATATTCGGAGCCATTTTGGGCCCGAAAAGGAGCTTCAAAGCGACATCAGCATTTCAAAGAATAAAGGAAGCCGCCGCGTATTGCCGGGAGGTGGTTTTTGCAGGACCAAGCTTGGCAGGGGCATCTCTTGGCTCAGGTCTACCAGCGGTTCGGCTTCCGCATGGTGCCGGCGATGGCTGCCGCCATGCTGTCGCTCGCACGGTGGATACCCAGACCTGTGGGGCGTATTTTCCATGTCATTGGTGGTATTGGTTAGGATTTCCTTGATACCCACACCTCCAGTGTGTGTGTGTGTCCTTTTCTGCAAATTCATTTTATGTTGGAGAGATTTCCCAGGAGCATCAACTGCAGCAACCAAACAGGGTGCCTTTTTTCGCGTTGCCACTGGCTATTTGGAAGTGACCTGGCATCGTTCAGGCCAACGCTGCCAGCAAGTGCGAGGCACTTGCTGGGTGTATGACAGCGAGACAATGTGCTAGAGTGCTCGCTGGGGATGCGCCGAGGTGTTTTGTCTTGGTTCCGCTGTGCATAGAGGGGAGGCACTTCGACACTAAATGGATGCCCTCGTAGGGTTCAGTGCTCAGGGAACGGTTGCCCCTTTCTAATACTGCAAGTGCCCCTGTAGCCATCTCTGATGCGGTGTGCCTTGTCAAGTCGCACCGATTTGGCGCCGGCGATGTCAATGCACCCCAGTAACCAACAAGACACACGAACGAACGCATGTGCAAACACGCAAACAGAAAGACAGTTTTAGGCGTGCAGTGCAATGCAGAAAGCAGGAAGCATGGTTCTAGAGAGTCCTGAATTTGCGATTCATTGGATGTGGCTTGGGCACCATTCAGAAAGTCAGGCTTGGTGCCGGCTACTGAAAGGTCCACTCCAAAATGGTGTCTCAATAAGCTCAGCAGCAGGCCTGCGGGCTGGAGTGAGGGCCTTTCCGGCTTTGAAAACAACCTGGTCCATGAAGACTTGTACCTGAAGACAGGTTCCTGGCCTTTCTCCCTTTTTGTTGGTTTTCAAAGATGCAGCAACCAGATTTTCACTCGGGGTGGTTGTGAGATGCGCGAGGTTCTGCATGGCTGCGTCCATTGAGATCATGGAGGGCGAGGAGAAGGATGCAGAAGAGGAGGAGTTTGGCAGCCTTGAGGAGGTTTGCCCAGAAGATCCTCGGACCTATCTTTATCTTTCTATGGGTGGATTTCATGTCCAATCTGTCACCCATCCTCCTTTCGGGGGCTTGGTGACAAAAATCCCCAAAATACTGGGAACTTGCTTCTGTTTGGACTGGCCTGTGCTTAAAAGCAATCCGCACGATCCTATCCTTGGGTTGCCAGAGGATTTGGCCCTGTGGTTTCACGGACCCAGCGTTTGGAGCAGCCCGATGTGATAACCTTGGCGTTGGCGTTGCCGTTTGTTTGTTGTGTTTTGTTAGGAGATCGTCAACTTTTGCAGGCACTACTTGGTACTTACGATCTTGCATTTAAATCTCCGTTGGACTTTACGTTTGCCCGATTCATGACAGACGGGGGAGATAGGGACCCCTTTGCGGGACGGAAAGGAAATTACCCGTGAAATAAAGCCTGAAAATGAAAGCAGCGGCGAATTGGGGACTCCAGGCACGGGTGGAAATCCTTTAGCCAGAGATCAGAATGTCCTGCGTGGGAGTTTGATTCCAATCTTAGAGGGGTTCCTTTAAAGATTTCCCAGGAACCCCTTGTCAGGTTCCATGTTAGCTTGTGGGAGGGTAAGACTATTCATTGCCATCCAACTCAGCCCTGTTTCCTCGACTAGATAAGATGTTCAGCCAGAGCACATGCCTGCATCTTCCCAGAAACGTGGAACGACCTCTGCCTGATTTGGATGGGTCTTTCCAAGTGGGCATTTGGGCGAGTCCCAAATTGGAGTTGAAAGCATCCAAAAGAGGGAAATGGCCTTACACAATGAATGGGGCGTGTGGGTCTTGTGTCAAAATAGGGGTACCCTCACTGGTTTTCTGTTTGTTTGGCTTCTCTCTTGGAGGTGAACAGGACACCTCTCAAAAGCACATGGCGGCTGTCGGAGCTTGAAGCCCCTTTTCGACTCAACCCTTTCAGCCACTCCGATCCAAGGATGCTGAGCTGGTGGCTTGAGCATTGCCGTAGTCGCGCGCGGCGCGCGGGGTTTGCCCTTGACCCCCCGAAGCGCCTTTTGTGGTCGAGAAGCGCTTTTCTCCCCTGCCTCCCCCAAAACCCAAAAGAAAAGCTCTTCGACACCTGCGGTTCGTATGTTCGTAGGATGTCATCGGGGACCGATTGCCGGGGGTTGAAAGGTGAACCCAAGTGCCCAGAGGCAACGACTGAGTTGACAGCGTGGGAATGTGTCAAGGCAGCTGATTTGACGGCCGCAACAGTGGCAATGCTTGGCAACAGTTCCCTTTTGAACTTACAACGGCTGCCCCCTTCTTCTGACACATACCCATGAGGTTTGGTCCAAATTTCCAGTCTGTGGATTATTTGGAAGGGACGTGGCGGAACTCACAAATGAGGAAACCAGCAATTGGACCGCGCCTCACACGCTTTCCGAAAGCGCATGGTTTCCTTTCATAGCCCTTATGCCAGGGTGGTGATCGATCATGACTCACCCGGATGCCAGGGCTTGCTCAGCGGCGATTTTTTTTTCCGGTGCACTGGTCACGTATCACGAGTACCCGAGGCACAAGCTGAGTACCTGTGACCCTGTAGTCAGGAGACACCCTTCACGAAACAAGACAAAACATGTGGACCTTCTGGTTGCAGCTACCTCGAGTGAGCTGCAATTTCGCATGAGCAAGCTTTGTGAATTGGATGGCAAGCCCCATGTGACTTGGGATGGCGAATGCGAGCTCGCGTTTGGAGCCGCGCCTGCGAGCAAAAGGCAAGTGGGAGCGCTTGTCTCACTCCTGGCCATGTCCGCTTCAGGCTCCTTATTGTCGTTAAAGCACTCTCTCACGTGACCCGGCCAACGGAAGTCTCTGCGACAAAGTGGTTCTAGCCTATGGGGATGGGATCTTGAAAGGAGCGTTCTGAGCAACCGCCTGGAACCCCTTTTTTGGGCGCAAGGACAGCCTGCCGGAAGCCATGCGATGGAAATCCACCCCCATGTTCGGCGAAGGACTCCCGCGAGTTCTCGCACGCCAGGAGGGCTCTGGCATGGAGCAAGGCTTCAACGCCCCGGGCTCAGTGGATGTCTTCAACGCACGCCGTGTTGAACTTTACACTTTTGGGACGGTTTTGGTGGCGAACGTGTTCAGACAGTGTTTGGCCACCCAGAAGGAGAGAAAAGGCGACCTGAAGGGATGATGTGTTGTTTTCCCGATTTTCACGGTGTGTGATCAATTTCTTGAGAGGGATTGGCTTCCAATTAAAGCCAGACAGCAACAACAGAGGACGTCGTTTTTCTCTTTGGCAACTGCCCTATGGGTGTTCAGATGATTGATTTACTATTTTTTCCCTAGCGAGGGAAAGAGATGAAGGAAGGACTGGTATCTTCGCCTGGATTACTGTAATCCTGAGAGCTGGGAATGTCGGACCTTTCTGGACAGGCGGTTGGGTGTTCCTCAAACCATCAACCCTGCGACAACTCACTTTGTATCGGCCTCGATGGCGAAGTCTGTTCGTTGGCCAGAGTCGTGGGAAGACTTTGAATGTGCGGTTCGAAAATCTGGGGCTCAGAAATGATGGAGAGGGGAAAGATAAGGTACCTCTAGAGATTCCCCGCAAGCGCCTGGAGTAAGGAATGAATGAGAGAGTGACCTAGAGTTCTACCACCTACTCGCAATGAACGGACCTCAAAGAAGTGGATCAAGAGTTGGACACCGGAGCTGTAACTCCCAGAACTCCCCACACGATGTTCTGCTTGGCCTTTCCCTCGCTCTCCACTTTCTGGCTTGGGGTTTGGCCTTTGGATGGGTTTTGGCCTTTGGGTTTGGGTTGGGAAGGCTTCTAGAGTTGATTTGGGATTGATTGGGGATTGGATTGGTCTGGGTTTAGGTAGGGCTTGGCTTGGATTGACTTTTTTACTGGAGTGGTTTGCGGTGGATGATTGAGCTTGGCGTTCCGGCAGGTTCGGCTTAAAAGCTCCGTTGGAAAGGATCAGCCATTTTTCAACTGATTGTCGAGGCTCCCCTTATATTAAGCGAGGATATCAAAATAGGCTAGGTGCCTCTTGCCACTGTTGGGCATGTTGCTCCAGAGGTCTCAAGAGGACTTGACCGCTCTGTGGGTGGGCAAGGAAAAAGCATGTTTGCTTCCTGTTGGGTCTTTTTGGAGCCCGTAAAAAGGAGGTGCCCACGTACATGACACCGGCCGTGTCCCAACAAGGACCGTTGGTTGTTGTCAACCATCCCGAGTTGCGGTTTTCTTTAAGAGTCAAGCGCAAGGCTCACTGCACCTCCGAGTCCCGGCTCCATGCGACATGCCTCTCAGCCATTCCGCCATTCTTGTGTTTGTCTAGACCCTATTCTTCTTGGGAGAAATGTTGGAAGAGGGGGGGAGATTGTTTGGGGGGGGGGGGTGAGGAGGGGTAGTTTATTCATCAGAGGTAGACGTTAAGAGGAGCTACTCCCTGGATTTCGATGCGGAAAGCGGTTGGTTGCGTTTTGGGAGGCCGCCATAGGTTGCTACGGCAAAGTGGCGCCCTGTGCCGCAGGTGGTGAGGAAGAGCAATGGGGACACCGGCATCTATCCAAAACAATATTTGCGATATGGACCTGCCCCAAGCGAATAAAATCAACATTGATGGATGAATATATACATACATATCACTATTCGAATATCTGAATACTAATATGCGCATGGTGGATATGATGTGATTAGAGGAATTTCAATATATATATATATATATATATATGTGGGCGTTGATGTGACATGACCGATTGTTGAAAAGCTTGACTATGATATGTGTCCGAAGAGTCGCTGTGCAATAATACTATATATATATATGTTGAAGCACACACAGATTGAGATATGTGTGTATAGGTGTATACTTACGGAACATATATATATATATAGACATGTTTAACAAATCCGACAATGTGAGAACTAGCTCGTTGTGTTACTTGTATGTTGTTGCTTCTTTAACACTCATGATTGAGAGGGGATACAATAAGGAGTGCTAAAGTTGATGTTAATGTCGTTGGAATTTGGTATTTTGTGTTATTTGTATTTGGATGATTGTTTTTTTTCTTTTTGTGTGTGTTATGTGTATTTGGTTAACTGTTTGTTGTTGTTTTTTTTTTATGCTGAAGGGTTGTTATGTATAGGACTCCGGGCTCGTCGGACTGAGGGGACCCTTAATTTCTTAGCCTTAATTTCTGCATGAAGTTGGTGTTTTTCTTCTAGTTGTTCTTCAAACTGCTTAGCACTTGCGCACGTTAGTCACGGCACGACACATTTTGGCTGCAGGGTTTGGGCCCAGAGGGTTCATCTTCTCGTATTCAGAGACGGGATTTTTGTTTTTTTAGGCAAACCTCTTCCAAGCAACTCCAATCTCTTAAGCCGCAAATTCTTAGGACCCCTCTTTTTTTCTGGCCCTTTCCCATCCTCTTCCGGAAAAAGGCCGGGAAGAGGACTGGAGGCCGGGCCGTTTGAAGCTTCAGTCGCGCAATGGCAAGAAGTCAAGTGGAGGCACATCTTAAAGAAGCTGGCCTTGATTTCTTGATTCAATTTCTGGATGATTGGGGTGTTCAACACGTTGAGGAGAGGGCGTGACCGACTCGGCCAAAAAAGCGTGCAAACCCGATCATGAAATCAGAAAATACAAAGTAGGCTACCGGAGACGGAAAAAAGGCACGTCAAATTCTAAACCAATCGGGGTATATACTCGCTAGTGCTCGCGATCCATTAATGTGCTGAATCCATTGTATCATTTCATCTAGACAACGTCGGCAATGCTGGCAAGCACGTGTTGATTGTGACGGGCCAATACTCGTTCAAGGAAACAGAGTCACCAGACTTGATGGATCTTGATGGTATCCATGATTTCTTGTAAATGTTTCACTTACCCATCGAATGATTCTAGAAGTTGCCAGATGTTGCCAACCCTTGAGGATCTGCAACTGCTCGAAGAGGAAGACTTGGAGAAAGCGGGGGTGAAGCTCGTGCCACGGCGGAGGTTCCGAAAGCTTCAGCAGTCGTTGCAGGAGCTCTCGGTGATCTCCGTCCCATCTCTGCCCAGCGAACAGTCTGAGTGGTGTCTGGAAGGCAGGGCGAACGGCCAGAGGTTCTCTGATGGGTCAAAACCAATGGGATCGGTGCGCCACCCAGTTACAACCTATTTGAGTGGGGATTGTGATGTTCACTGGGGGTATGGGATTTTGACCCATGGTCTACTGTGCAACTGAGGAGTCGTAGTGGGATACAAGTAGTTATGGATAGTCAACGCTGGTTTGGTGTGCAAACAATGCTTTTTGTTGGCTTCAGGGGGTTCAATACTGCTCAAACACCAAGCCATGGATGGGCGGATGGCAGTTGTTGTTTTCGGCATGGCCATGACCTGAGGTGATGTGAGTCATTCCTGGAATTTGCCCAGCGAAACCCTGGATTTCACAGAGCTGCTAGCGCAAAAACCCGGCCGAGTGCCGGTGTCCTGCTTCAAAGTCCATGATGGAGAGGTGGGCCACCGATGATTTGACGAATGCCCTTCTGCATAAACACCCCCCTCGATATGTGGGACAGAGTGCGGGACAAAGTGCGGGACAAACAACTAGCCGGCAAGTTGTCCGGGGGGTTGTCCGGAGGGTTGTCCGCGCACTTTGCCGAGTTTTATGCTGCAACCCCCCCCCCCCTCCCGCGGGAATACTTCCCTCCGAGTGATTCCCGAGTGGTTTCCGAGTGGTTTCCGAGTGGTTTTGAGCGGGTTTCGAGTGGTTTCCGAGCGGTGTCCGAGTGGTTTCCGAGCGGTTTCCGAGTGGTTTCCGAGTGGTTTCCGCGTGGTGTTGGCGTGTTCCAAACCTGTCCGAAGACTTGTCCGGGGGATTGTCCCCGGAGGGTTGTCCGGGGGTTTGTCCGGGGGTCCGGGTTTTCGGGCCCTCAAAGCTGTCCGGAGGGTTGTCCCTCAAAGCTGTCCAGAGGGTTGTCCGGGGGTTTGTCCGGGGGGTTGTCCGGGGTGTTAAGCCTGTTTGGACCCAACATGTGCAAGCAGGTGTTTATGCAGAACCGCCTTTGTCAACTGATGTATGGATTTTTAGGATACAACGTGATGCAACTTGTTGGGCATAATAGGGAAAACCCTGTCCGAAATCAACATGTTCTATCGCTATTTCACCACCAGTCAAGACATACGGTACCATCTTGATATCAGGGCTTTTACCCGTATCCCATAGCCACTCCTCGAATATCCATCCCCATCGTTGCACTGCCGGAGGCCAAGTTCATTGAGACCCGTGAGCATGTCCGTCGCGCGGTACATTGGAAGCTGCGCCCGGAAGAGGGCTGGCAGTTTATCACCATGGAATTCCCGGCCAAGAGCCTGGAGTTGAAAGTTGCCGTGGAGCGATATTCGAGCGGCTTCGAGCATGGTGGCAGACGCTACTACTTTGTATCTTCCAGCAGCTCTGAGAGCATTTGGGTCCTCATAGCCTACTTGACAGTTTTAAACTTATATTTGAATTGGACAAGAGCAGTGGATGGGGGCAGGTCAGGAAGGAACATGTTGATCGCCGAAGGCTTGCGCTGTAATTGATCATTGCAGTTTGGGGATGATGGGATGGCTCAGTTACGTTTGTAACGTGGTATGCCCAATGGCAAAGAATTCCAACCAAGGTCTAGTGTTCGAGTGTGAATACATTTTACTTGCCCTTCTCGTAGGTTTGGGGGGTTGTGACCTTATTTTAACGCCTCCGGCTCAGGCCGCCGACATTACAGGCTTGCTTTCTTATTTGCGTCCCTTCGGAATTTCCCCAACTTTCCCCCCTAAGGCCTTTTCCCCCCCGAGATCTTTCCCTTTCCTCCCTGAGATCTTTCCCCCCCCCTTCCCTGTTGAGATCCTTTCCCCCCTTTCCCCCCTAAGGCCTTTCCCCCCGCTGAGATCTTCTCCCTATTCCTCCCTAAGATCCTTTGCCCCCTTTCCCTGTTGAGATCCTTGCCCCCCCTACCCCGAAGGCCTTTCCAGATCTTCTCCCTTTTCCTTCCTAAGATTGTTTCCCCCCTTTCCCTGTTGAGATCCTTCCCACCCTTTCCCCCTAAGGCCTTTCCCTTGCTGAGACCTTCTCCCTTTCCCCCCTTTCCCTGTTCGCCGTTTTTCCCCCAGATCCTCCCTTTCCTCCCTAAGATCTTTTCCACCCCTTTCCCTGTTGAGATCATTTCTCCCCTTTCCCCCCTAAGGCCTTTGCCCCCAGATCTTCTCCCTTTCCTCCCTAAGATCTTTCCCCCCCTTTCCCTGCTGAGATCCTTTCCCCCCTTTCCCCCCTAAAGCCTTTCCCCCCCTGAGATCTTCTCCCTTTTCCTCCCTAAGATCTTTTGCCACCTTTCCCTGTTGAGATCCATTCCCCCTTTCCCCCCTAAGGCCCTTTCTCCCTCTGAGTTTCCTTTTCCTCCCTAAGATCCCTCTCCCTGTTGAGATCCTTTCCTTTCCCCCCTAAGGCCTTTTCGCCCCTGAGATCATCTCCCTTTTCCTCCCTTTCCCCCCCCCCCCTAAGGCCTTTCCCCCCCCCCCCCCGGAGATCTTTTCCCTTTCCTCCCTGAGACCTTTCCCCCCCTTCCCCTGTTGACAAGGCCTTTCCCCCCGCTGAGATCTTCTCCCTATTCCTCCCTAAGATCCTTTGCCCCCTTTCCCTGTTGAGATCCTTTCCCCCCCTATCCGAAGGCCTTTCCAGATCTTCTCCCTTTTCCTTCCTAAGATTGTTTCCCCCCTTTCCCTGTTGAGATCTTTCCCCCCTAAGGCCTTTCCCCCCCTGAGAGCTTCTCCCTTTTCCTTCTTAAGATCTTTCCCCCCCTTTCCTGTTGGCCTTTTTTCCCCCCTTCTCCCTTTCCTCCCTAAGATCTCTTCCACCCCTTTCCCTGTAGAGATCATTTCTCCCCTTTCCCCCCTAAGGCCTTTGCCCCCAGATCTTCTCCCTTTCCTCCCTAAGATCCCCTTTCCCTGCTGAGATCTTGAGATCTTTTCCCGCCTTTCCCCCCTAAGGCCTTTCCCCCCCTGAGATCTTCTCCCTTTTCCTCCCTAAGATCTTTTGCCACCTTTCCCTGTTGAGATCCTTTCCCCCCTTTCCCCCCTAAGGCCTTTTTTTCCCCCGCGATCTTCCTATTCCTCCCTAAGATCTTTTCCCCCCTTTCCTTGTTGAGATCCTTTCCCCCCCTTTCCCCGCTAAGGCCTTTTCCCCCCAAGATCTTCTCTTTCCTCCCTAAGATGTTATCCCCCCTTTCCCTGTTGCCCCCTACGGCCTTTCCCCCCCTGAGATCTTCTCGCTTTTCCTCCCTAAGATCTTCTCCCACCTTTCCATGTTGAGATCCCCTTTCCCCCCTGAGATCTTCTCCCTTGACCTCCCTAAGATCCTTCCCCTCTTTTCCGGTTGAGATCCTTTCCCTCTAAGGCCTTTCCCCTCAGATCTTCTCCCTTTCCTCCCTAAGATCTTTCCCACCCTTTCCCTGTTGAGACCCTTTCCTCCCTAAGGCCTTTCCCCCCCTGAGATCTTTCTCCATTTCCCTCCCTAAGATCCTTCCCCTCTTTTCCGGTTGAGATCCTTTCCCCCCTTTCCCCCCTAAGTCCTTTTCTCCCAGATCTTCTCCCCTTTCCGATATTTCCCTTTCCCTGTTGAGATCCTTTCCCCACTTTCCCTCCTTCATTTCCAGATGTTCCTTCACCAGCATGGGCAACATCCCCAGCACCACTTGCATCATCCGCATCCTTGGCAGGCGCTGATGCGTATGATGCAGGTGATGCTGGCGATGTGCCGCTGGAGCTGCTAAGGATGCGAAAGCGGACCCGGGGGGAATCGAACACCCCAATGTTTTTGACAAACTGAGTTGCGCTTTAGTGAAGCGTCTTCGAATCACCGCGCGAGCATTGCATCATGCATGATCGCGTGAAGCAAAAAGAACCTTAGCAGGCCGCTTCCAGGATTATCCACAAGACAATCCACCAGGGACAATCCATCCTCCAATCATCCACATTGGCATATTGGATTCTCTCCGGAATAGATCCAGGGACCAACACAACGACCTCTACTACCACAGGGTACCAGTTCCGTTCAGGGATAGGCACCCCAGTGGGTGGTAGCGGAGCGGGTTTTCTGCAGAGATCCAAGGGAAGATGTCATCCGATGGAGAAGTATGGCCAAAAATCCAGGCTATACGATGACCGCCAAGCAGCCGCCATCGTACGACGGAAAAGTCAGCTGGTTCAGGTATGAAGAACTCGTGGACGATTGGGTGACCATCACGACGGTGGAAGCACCCAAGAGAGGACCTCTGCTCAAAAGCAGATTAACAGGAGATGCATATATGTACAAGGCGGTCCTCCAAAACGACCTTTTGCAAGATCCTGATGAAGGAGTCAACTATTTCAAGAACACGCTGAAGAAGTACTTTTTGAAAGGTGCGACCAACGTGTATCTGTACAGGCTCCTCAGTTTCTTCAACAGTAGAAGGCAGAACCAAGAGTTCCTCATTTTTACCTCAAAATTCGAAATCCTTCTTATGAGATTGAAGGTAGCATGGATGGACTTGATGCCCGTTTTCACGGCACAGTCCCCATCATTTCGACAGTCCGTACAGGACGCAAATGCAAGAACAATTGCTCGACATCAGCAAGCAGCCGGTGTTCGAGCACCGCCTCCAGCCCTGCTCAATCCGACAGTCCTCAGACAGTATATCCAAGGAATGCAGGACAGACAGCGGGACGCACTTCCCTTCGGGGATAATCTCATTGCACAGTTTTTCATTATTCAAAGTGAGCTGTCAGATCAGCAACGAGAAAGACTGACAAGTGCAAGGTCATTGAGAAACATCTCACTAGAAAACTACTCCTATGAGATGCTGAAGACGCACTACCATGAACTCTTCATCACGACGAGAACATCGATCCAAGATCCATCCATCCGACCTCAAGGAGGCAACCGAAGCAACACATTCTTCATCATCGAACAAGGTGAATACGAAGGAGAAGAAGGCCTCTGGGTTGAGGATGAAGAAGGACTTGAAGGATTCATGTCAAACAACGATGAAAAGACGTTCTGGGTCCTCGAGGAGAACGATGCGTTCATAGCAAGAAAAGTGTCGGGGCGGAACTTCAAGTTCAAGAAGAGAAAAGGAAAAGGAAAATCAGGAAACAAAAAGGACAGTCACCAACGAGGTGGCTTTAAACCCTTCAGAAAAAGCGGTTCTGGCGGAAAGGCCAATATGGCCAACGAAAACTATGACCCCTACGACCAGGCATATTGGGGAAAAGGCAAAGGAAAGAAGGGAAAGAAAGGAAAATCAAAATTAAAATATATCCCTATGATGGAAACAAAGGTTCTCCATCCTATGAGAGTGGCAAGGGAAAGAGCGGACAGGAGAAAGGAAAATCCAAGACGTTTGCAGCCACTGCAGAGAAGACGGAGGAGCAGCCCGCCATCCAGCAGACTGCACCATCCATGGAGCCTACCTATGCCGGTTGGACAGACCAAGACTGGGATCAATCATGGACATGGAACGAACATGGCTGGTACTCATCCCATGAGACATCCAGCACAGGACAAGCGTTAATGGCATTCCATGATGCATATGAGCATCCTGGGAAAAAGGCCATCCACGAGAAGCTGATCCAATCAGATACAGTTTCAGAACACAATCTGTCCGTCACAACAAATCACAGCCTTCTGGCAACAAAGCTGATGGCGCCTGTCATCAACCCTCAGCACAACCCGACCTATGCGATTCTGGACAATGGATGTACCAGATCTATGGGCAGCTGGCATGCAATCCAGCGTTTTACTCAGGCCATCGAACCAATGAAGGACATCATCTCCTATGAGTACATCCCAGCCGAGACCAAGTTCACTTTTGCAAATGGAGAGACCGCCAGGGTAAATTGGACCCTGCATCTTCGATATCACACAACTCCTCCATGCAGTACCAACCAACATCGACGTCCTTGAACAAGGAACTGTACCAATCCTACTCAGCATCAGCCAGATGCGGAACCTCTACATGACTATCGAGCACACAGCTCAATGTGACAAGATCACATGCAAAGCCTTTGGCATGAACCGTCAAGCAGTTCCGGTATCTGGTACAGGACATGCACTCGTCGATCTCGCTGGAGTTGCAAGAGTGAAGGCGCATGGAGACATTGCTCACAAGGGCCTCATCAACTATGTCTATGACGATGATAACAGCATCAAGTTTCCCTCCGGGGATCTCACCAAGAGCGAAACTGTTTGTGCAGCAAAATCACCCGAGACAAAGGAGGGCCTAGCAACTCCTAAGATCATTGGGTCCCAAAAGCAGGACCATTGGATCCTTGACAAGAAGAACAAGCAGCTCATCCGTGTGCACATTAAAAGGCGCTGTTCACACCAAATGGAGCCAAGGAATGTCCAATCAATCCTGATCACATTAGCCGAGAACG